CTTTCAATCATTTCTACATAACTGGCACCCTAGAGGTTACAAAGCCAAGGAGTAGCGTTACTTTTGAAAAAAAAACAAAAGAAAATTCAAGGGAATGCCCCACATAAATTGTGCTGCTCGTGGGAGCTAGCGTTTGCATACTCGCCGAGTAGGAACCACTTGATTTGTGACAGTCCAGGATATAAGTTCGCGATTTTCAGTGTTTTATCATTTTATGATGATGACATGATTCATTCTGTCTCCAGCTGTAATTCGCTGAGGTAAGTGGAAACTATAGTTTTTTTTCTTCTCCTCTTCTAATTTATTTCGTTGCGCGATCCAAGACAGTTATTCATGTCCCTGAGACGCGACAGACTTCAGTTTTCCGGTGTTTTCATGGTTGTATCTACTGAAGATCTTGGCTTATAGATCTTAAAGATCTTGCAGCAGTTTTGGAAAGTTGTGGCAGGCTTGTACCATTAAAAAAATTGTGATTAAAATATAATAGTCTTTACATTTGATTGCTTAAGTACCTCAGTGATAACTGTTAACACATGTCAATGACCTGTGAAAATCCTCTCTTATGCATCCTCTACATAAGTGGGTTTGCCATAATGTCCATGCTTGGCAGACAGGTTGAAGATTGCAGTCTAAAAGGACGCTGTTTGGTCTCTGTCAAGGTTGTAGTTCCATATTTCGTCCTTAAGGCACCCGCGGGCAGTATGGTGGTGATTACAAACGTAGGTATTCTATTCCATTGTCACCACAATATTAACGACCATCTCATTTGTTCAACAATAATCTCATTTGTTTTTTTTTTTTTTTAATCTTTATTAAGAAAAAGGCTTTAATCGCGAAGCGATGATGCCAGCCCCATAGTGAAAGTAAATAACAAAAATAAGTAATAACTAATGTCTTAACTTAATTAATTTAACAATTATACAACATATCTTAAAAGCTAATTTGGATGTAGGTTTAGACAAAATCAAGTTACACATACCGACATCTAATCTCATTTGTTAACAAAATACAATATGCGGACTACACGCCTTAAAATACCCATGGGAGTTTTTGTACCTAGGTACTGTTTATATTGCCAGGGTAGATACGTTCATAGGAATGTAGGTATTGTAGGTACGTATCTTTCGTTTGATTTTCAAATTCAAAGATGTAAGTACTTAGTTTTTTATGGGACAAGCCCGCCATAAGGTTTCAAACCCGCTGCAACTCCTGTAAGCCAGGATCTATAATAGATATAACCATGAAAACATCGTAACACTGAAGTCCGGCGCGTCCCAAGTACATGACACTATTTTGGATTCTGCAACGAAATAAATCAAAAGATAATAAGAGGCTATTAATGACTGCACGGTTGGCGCGGTGGCTGGGCAACTGGCTGCTGCGCAATGTGTCGCGGGTTCGATTCCCGCACGGAACAATTCTTTGTGTGATCCACAGATTGTCCGGGTCTGCGTGTCATGTGTATGTGTATTGTATTCAGTTAGATTGTCCAAAGGAGATTAGAAATTACTTTTCTTCTTGTTTAATTCTGAGTTTTTTCGTTCGGATCCAAGCCAGGTTTTCATGTCGCTGAGATTTAGTCATTTGTACGCTTGTATCTAGTGCAGACCCTGGCTCACAAAAGTTACAGCTTACAGCGGTTTTGGATGAAAAAAAATCTAGTTTTTAATTAATGATCGAGTTCTTAGTTCTCGTAATCTGGTGCAAAAGTGGGGGTTATATTACATTTTAAGAAAAATATTTTTTTAAGCTTGATAAAACATCTGTCCCATAATATCATAAGAAGTGACCACCCTAATACCACGCACACACTCTTACACCCTTCATACGTCACACATACGCGATCCGTTTAGGGCCGCGCGCACTATCTACTCCCGGCGCGATAGGAATCTGATTTCCCGCGTGGTGCCAACCCTGGATGAGCACGATACTTAAGCTTTTATCATGTATATGTCTTTTTGATGCTACCGTTCTGATTTTTGTTTTCGAAATAAAACATATATATTAGACATATAGTACGACTTATTATTAATGTTATTTTTGGAAAGGAATTTTCAATAAATAATCGAAATGTTAGTGACATATTTCTTCGTACACCTATTATATAGTGAATTTAGTTAGATACAATTGTGATGTTAGTATTTTTTGCATTTTGTTGATGCATTTTTTGAATCATTCATGCTAAGCCTAGCATGAATGATTCAAAAAATACATACGTCTAATTTAGAAGATTTCTCTCAAATATCTCTTATTTCATAAAACGTGGCTTCTATGCATATAGAAAGTCGCGGAGAACCTAAAGGGTTACCGGGGCTCCGGCTCGACGTGCAGGAGAAGGAACGGGGTGGTTTTTAGTCAGTCAGAGTCTGACACTCCCGCCTCACCCAGGCTGGGCCGGTTCGACCGGAGTGATACCACGGCCACACAGAATACCGACGTGAAACAACGCTTGCGTTGTGATTCGTCGTGTGAGTGAGATTACCGGAGGCCCAATTACCCTCCCTTTTCCCCAATCCTTGAATCGTCAACAATCCTCAAATTCCTAATTCCAAAGGCCGGTAACGCACTTGTAACGCCTCTGATAAAAAATAAAAAAATGAGTAAAACAAATAACTTATATTTGTCCAAGTTTTATTACAAATAAATACTATAGATGCTACAATACAAATTATATTACTCACAAAATTATCGTCCAGTAAAGAAACATATAAAATTATAGTAAAAATATCTAAATAACACACATATCGTCAATTCTTTGGCGAACTTTAAAAGGAATTTTATTTAAAACCAAATCTGAAAAGACTTAGGCAAAAAATTATACTTATGTTTAGTTTATTATTTACAAAAGTACCAAAAATATTAATTATGGCACGATTTTTATTTATAGAGAAGCCTCATAATCTACATACATCGGAGAAATTAGGGAAACAAACAATACCATAGCATTCGTAACGTGTGGATAATTTCAACATTAAAATTTGTGTTCCTTTCTCCATTTGTCGAAATTCCCCACATTTTTATAGTTCTCTATTTTTGCCGGTGTATGTATTTCATTTCACACTATTTTATATAGATCTAAGTACGAAAATGCAACTTTAGTAAATGCAGTCTGGAAGTATAGAAAATAAAACATAATAATATGAAGACGATGAACATCTAAACATTTCGGAAACGCGAATTAATAAGTTACCTATAATGTATTTTTCTCTTATAAATATTTCATTTCAGGCAGTGAGAATATCAGAAAGCATTATTAGGAAATGACGTCCGGAATCCTTAATATTATATTACAAATATTTTACTTTATTACTAGGTAATAAGGCACTGTTCATACACAATAAATATGCATTAAAGGTGATAATATTTCTGTTTAGTTATTGGATTATTCAGATTGTTGAAAATGCAAACTTAGATTTAAAACAAATTGTCTTATTACTTGTCTTTTCTTTACAATTCGGTATTTACTTTTCTTAGTGTCATTTGTTTGTGTCTAAGTGCATTAAAGGTTCGGTATATATGTGTCGGATGCCTATCATAGGCGTTCTGGTGTAAGCCAGAGCTCGATTTTAGGGCCTTTGTTGTATCTTATCAAGGTCAATGATCTTCCTGCAATTCTACATCGTGCGAAATGCCTTTTGTATGCGGATGATTTGAAACTTTACTTAGAAATTAACTCTGACCGTGTCAGCTTGGCACTTCAGCAAGATATTGATGCAGTATACAAGTGGAGCGTAGACAATAAGATGGAGTTTAATCGAGTTTGGATGAACCAAATGCTATGCTATGAAATTTGCTCGAAAGCGAACCCAATTAACTTCCAATACAGTTTAAATAATAGCAGCTTTACAAAGTCGACAGTCATGAAAGACTTGGGAGTCACATTCGACTAAAAACTCACTTTCCTAGACCATACCTATACAGTAGCGAAGCAATTCTTCTAAAGGTTTAGGTTTCGTTTTGCGTAATAGTCGTGATTTTCGCATTGCTTACACCATTAAGATATATTTAATGCTCAGCAGCTAGCCAAGTGCCATTTAGCGCTTGTCTACATGTAGAATAGAAAACCAAATTATATGGAATTGACGTAAATTTTGACTCTTGTCAGTGTCATCTCCATACATTTAGTTGTCTACTCTCTCTGTAGACAAGCGCTAAAGTGGCGTTTGGCTAAGGGCACTGGTTCGGTGCAAGTTGGAAACCAACTCGTATTTTAGGAACCCACACGAAAGTCATTCGCTTTTACGTGCCAGATAATTACTGCCGAGGTTAAAAACACAGGCTGTTTGCCGTGCCCTCATGTCGTACTGTCGCACGCGCTAAATCACCTATTCCTCGCACTCTGGCCGCGCTCAATGATCCCCTGGATTCCAATCCAACTAGTGATCTGTTTGCGGACGGATAGAAGGAGATTTTATCAGAATGCGTGAAGTACTGCGAGAGAAACTTGTAAATGGTGTTAACTCCTGTTTTAAATTAATTTTTACTTTTCTTTATCTTATTTGTTGTGTAATATTTATGTGTTGTATTAGTTAGGATTGCGCCTTTTGTTGTTGTAAATGTCGGTTACTGGAATTGGGTTTTATACCGTTGTGAATGTTTCAAAATAAATAAATATTTAACCTCCTGAGTAAGAAATGTTTAGTATATAGAATAAATACAAGTTGTTGCGTAATTAAAATACTTAAAAACCCCTTGGATAATGAGTCTTATGCATATCGTATCGTAAGTGTATCGTTATGATAATATTATTATTCCATTCGTTCGGAAAAGGATACAACATTGTACCTACGTCCCACATGTGTTTTTGCTCTCGTCTTACGAGCGTATTGCAATTTGCTTACGATACGACACCGTGAACGAAAGGCCATATATATAGAACTCAGGGGCGGGAACAGACCCTTTTATTTCAGTATATTTTCAACATTTAGCTAGATATGGGTACCAAACCTATGAACTCGTTTTCTCTACATGTATCTGGCTTGTTTTATCATGTCACCAGTTTATCTAAAGCTGGCAACTCTACTGGGTCCTTCAGTGGGTTCTAAGACGATCCTCTTGAAACAGCCCTCTGGCAGCTGGTCTAGAATCTCCTTGATATTGTCTACCTCAAGACGAAGATGGCTGTGCTCATCCTCGTATTGTTTCATCCACCTGTTAAATTATAAATTCATTAAAATTTGTTTATTTTCGAAAAAATGAATAGAGAACATTGTAAAAAAATTGCAATTAAATTAATAAAAATTTCTACACTTCTTTAGGATTTTGTTTACTCGTAAACTTATAAGTTTCATGGTGGTAGATCACGTACCTTTGGTGGTTATTCTTGGCTTCAGTCAGGCTCTTAATCTTGCCATCCAAATCAACCGCTATGAGGTCACTCTCTGCCTTGTCTAAGCTCTCCTCTGTAAATATTTAGATAGATTATGTCACTTTTTCTCATGTAAAATGATCTTCCTATAGGTACCTATATAATAAACTTCTTAAATTTTTAATTAATAAAGATCATTTCTCCTTGGTGCGCCCTCCTGAAGTCCTTACTCGTTCTCATCTTAAATCCTATCTTAAAATTGTGCCCCATAATACCGACTTCTACTCCTACTCCTTCTCCGTTCATGCAGTGAGACTATGGAACTCGCTCCCGCCGAACATTCGGGACGCCAAGTCTATCTCTATCTTTAAGAGACAAGTGAGAGAATATTATCTTTCCTCTTGAAATACAGATTTGTTTTTCTGTATTTATTTATACATATATGTATTATAATTGTTTTATATTAATTAGTTTTATCGTTTATTATTATTATTTCTATTGGTTTCTTTTTCTTCGGTCTTATTACTTTTTTTTATTAATTGATTTTTATCTTGTTTGTGTAACACACGCTGTGTCTCATTGTTGTTATTTCTTTTCCTGCCACAGGCCCACAGGAAGAAATTCCAGTTGGAATATGTGGGGCTTATGTACTCTGTTTTTTTATTATGTATTGTCCTCTGTGTTGAATGTGTGTACATAAATAAATAAATCATAAAAAATGCTTGACGTGTATGCCACCGAATTATATCTGGTTGGTTTGTACCAAGAATTGAAAACAATCTTACGAAGTACTTACGAAGTCGGTTAAGTGCCTGGTCGTCTAATGTGGGCAAGTTTTGCAACTCATCCATGATGACCTTCAAGTCCTCGAGGCCTTTAGTCACTTGTTTCTCCGCCTCCCTGGCATCAGTATTCGCTTGGCCAACCTAGAGTCAAAATCAATATGAGTAAATACAGAACAGCGTTCATGTTTAAATGTTCGCCCCATATGAGTATCTTCTTCTGTGTCGAGGGTGCGTTTACAAACTTAAAAAAAAAGTTTAAAAAAAAATTGGCTAAAGATAATTATATTAATAAAGTCTGACTGAGTTATGGTCTGAGTTTTTTTTTTGTTTTAAAAACGTTGCCCCGCACTAGCATTTTCTCCTGTGTCGTGGGTGCGTTTACAAACATACAAGTTCACATACACCATGACACCCAGACCCGAAACAACAATTTGTAGATCACACAAAGTGTTGCCCCGTGCGGGAATCAAACCCACGACACGTTGCACGGCAGCCGGTTGCCCAGCCACCGCACCAATCGTGCAGACACCAACCGAGTTACTGGTACACTTTAATGCTAAAGTGTTAAACCAATACAAATTAATACAACAATGAATCGTGAAGCAACATTTGTATTTAAGTCACTATTACCCGCTAACTTGCATACGATTAGTTATTGTATGTTCACATGTGTTTGAGCAAATAAATATGATATGGTTTGATTTAAGTCAACTCTGCATCTGCCATTACTAGAGCCCAACACTTTCCTTTCCAATGAGTGTTCTAGCCGAATCAAGTAAGTACTTATATAGATACTAGCTTTTTTACCCGCGGCTTCGCTCGCGTCACAAAATATTAAAATGTAGCCTATGTGACATATACCTATACACACAGCGCCATCTATACCAATACTTTTGTTTTCCCTCGGGAATATCAAATTTTTCCGGTATAAAAAGTACCCTATTATTTAATCCAGACTTCTAACGTTTACGTCTGCAAAAATTCAAAGCAATCGATTTCAGTTACGGCGTGAAAGAAAAACAAACTAACTAACAAACAAACTCACTTTCCAATTTATAATATTAGTAAGGAAGTAAGGATTAAAATAAAACAATTTGTTACCTTCATTTTAGCATCTCTAGTAAGTTGCATGTTCTCCGCAGCCTCTTTCTCCAAGTTTCCAATCTGTGTTGCTGTTTCTTGTACTCGAGCTGTTCAAAGATATTATTAATTTAATTATGTAAACCTGCACGGACTTGGATGCAATGCATTATCTACTAGATAAATCTTGGACACTGATGCTAAAGAAGCTAGGAATAAAAAAAAATTTAAGGGACTGTTGTGAAGCATGTCTCGAATAAACCTAACCATTTAAATCTCCAATCTGCCTGTCACGGCAAACCCCTTTTTTGTGTATAACTCTTGAGAGTTGTTCTACAGTACTGTTAAATACTAACTGTAAGATATCAGGAGTTTTTCTAACACTGGTCCCCCTATATTTCCCTGGTCTCTTCATTGTGTATTCTTGATTTCTCTTAATCTATATTTCAACTGAAGCTGATTGCCCAGCCACTGGGCCAAGTAGCATTGAATGGAATAGAAAATAAATTCAAATTCTGACTTACTGGATAGTTTCTCAGCTTCAAATCTGAGTTTAGACGCTTCAGACCTAGATGCTGAGGATTTCTTCCTAACTTCAAAGGCCGCCTGAAAAATTTCAAAGATTACGTTTAAGTAGATCTAGTACATTTGCATTATCACTATATTCGTTAATCATCAAACGGACTAATCGTATCCGTTTGTTCGTTTGATACCCCTTCAACGTGTCTATTACTACTTGGCTATAATAGTCAAAACTCTCATTGTCCCCGAGCCTTTCAAAGTAAAAGTTTTAGACTACATACATCTGACGCCTTATCAGCATATTCCTTCTGCGCCTTCTGTGCTAAGTCTCGTGCCTCCTTCGCCTTGTCACTGGCAGTATACAGTTGTTCCGTGATGCTATTAATGCTGTCATCTGCAGCAGCTATCTTCGCTTGCACCGCAGGCACGTCCAGGGCTGCTTGTTCGGCTAACTGACGCGACTCTGTCACTTGGTCACTGAATTCTGCAAGATTAATTACGTTATTGGACTTTATATTCTTCTTATTGACAACAGCTTTCTTTACAACTGTATACTTATTAGATCCAAATTATGATAAAGGTTCAAAACAGAATCAACACATAATGGTCAGATCGCAGAACTAATTTGAGATGACCGCATTGTAACAATAGTTTGCATTTGAGATTATAAACAACCAGTTTTACCAGAACCAGTATTTCATTTTGATAGATCGAAGCGAGTGGCTTAATCACCAGATGTCTGGATAAACCAGTTTGGCCCCCAAGTCTAAAAACTACTTTTTCAACCGTACCTTTCAAAGTTTTGTAGATTTCATTAGCATCCTTGAGCGTCTGATTGGTGAGTTCCACGTCATTTCTGGCCTGTTCCTGCAGCTCATCGAGTTTCCCCAGAAGGTCGTTCAGCTCGTCCTGTCTATCATGACCCTGGTCTAAGAGACCACGACCTTGTTTTATGGCATTCTCTAGCTGCTCCAACGTGTTTTCATTGTCAGCCACCAAACGTTCCAATTCAGCCGATTTCTCATCGATCTAAAATTACGGGAACAGAAAGTGTAAGAGAAGGTAAGGATATAAATGTTTTGGTGTATAAATAAAGTGAAATATATTAAAGTCTGTTTTAATAATAAGTATCGTGGTGTTACTTAATATTGTTGGTTTTAAATAGTGGACGCAAGTACCAAGAAACCATTTTCAGAAATTTGGATGGAAACGGAGAGACTCGATAATTTTATGAGCAATGATGTCTATAAGCTAGTCTCCCATTGAAGGTTGAGGTTAAGTACACATATCAAAAATCTTACTCTATTTGGAACATAGAATAAAGATTATTACCGTCTTGTTCATTTCCCTGGCTGTTTCCTTCAGTTTACTGAGTTTGATATCTGGTAGCAGTGTCGTGTTCACCTCGGCGTACAACCCCAGAGCTTCATCGTACACATCCTTTGCTCTCTTGAGTGCTTGGTCAGCTAATTCAGTCATACTGTTCAATTTTCCTGACGCTGCATTCAGCTCATTTGTCAGGATTTGTACCTCGTTACTGAAATTGAGAGAGTATTATAGTGATTATACGGATTTTTGAACGACAGATAATGTGTGTGTAACATATACAGACATGTTACCTCTATTTTAATGTTAGTCATTGTGGTGTTAGGTACTACTAATGTTATAGGGACTGCAATAACCTTCTGAAGCATGTGATGTATTGATAGGAATAGTTAAATTATGGTGGAATCATATTGATTTTTAAGGAGAACGGTTCTCCGTGTAGGAAATATTAAATCAGCTATCTATCCCTTATAATCAAACCAATCAAGTTATCCAAATGAATGTTGTTTATTCTCTTACCTAATATTGGCCTGCTTTGTAATTCCATCCTTAGCAATCTTATTAGCGGCAATAGAAGTGTTGAATGCTTTGTCAGCTATTTCTCTAATGTTTTTCGCTTCATTCTCAAGTTTTTCTGCCAGAAGCCTGGATTCTTTGGCCAGAGCTGACATATCGACTGATTGTTTGCCAAATTGGTCTGATCTATTGCGAGCCTTCGATAAAGCAGCAGCTCCTTCGCCGTCCATGTACTCCAATGCACTCTTAGTGGACAAAATATAAGTATTACAAAATAGAAAGTATTTAGAATTTAGGTCTTCAGTCAATTAGCCACTTTAGACTTAGAATAATACCACGTGATCTATATTTCCTTTAAAATATTGTGTAGTTATTATGTTCTATCTGTTAGTACATAGCAAATGAAAGTATTTTGCAAAATGCATTTTAATACTAGCGTCACCAAGATACTAGGTCAACAGAATAAATAATGTTAGAGAGAAAGCATCCACAAAAACATCTTACATTGATTTCTTTCTGTGCAGCTTCAATAGTATCTTCTGCTTTAGACACGTTACCCTTGCTCTTCTCAACTGCTTCTTTACCGTCATAGCTCTCGTCTTCAATTTTGAACAGCATGTTCCTGTGGAAAGACGAAAAAATATTATCTTCATAGTTACCAAGCAAAAGATGTCCATTGCAGGACATTAACCTCGTCCAGTAAGTCTCAGATGTTTACGATAAGATCTGTTACCTAAATTCGATTCTAAGTCAGAACTTGAAAGCCGTTAGTAAATAATGCAGTGGTCTATAAGATATTGTGGTCACATGGTTGCTGGAGCAATTAGTATTATCATGGGTAAATTGTAACTGGCTTCACAGATCCAATAGTGCTTACGTTTTTGCTTTATTAATTTACTTTAACCAAATTGAATGATTATTAATTCGATTATTAATCATGTCACAAAGTTTCCATTTTTGATTTCTAATTACCTGACGTCGGCGAGTCTGTCAGCCAGTTCAGCGAGGTTATTGGTGAGGCTAGCTCCAGGTCCATTGCCCAACTCTGCCTGAGCATCCTGCACCAGACGCTCAATGTCACCCCTTACTTGTTGCAGCTCGTTGTCGAAGTCAGCATTCTCAACTACAGTTGGAGACTTGGATATCTTCGCTAGGATCTGTAAAGAAGATTTTGTGATTAAAGTATTCCAAATTTAGAAAATAATCGTAATGTTTGACTAAGTAATATATATAAGTCAGGAGACGAGAGGTGAGTTTGAGAGAGAGAGACTCTGAGAGAGAGAGACTTCTATTGCGTTGAAAGTAATCGAAACGAGTACGCGTCCGGCATTCTGATTGGCCGGCTCCGACGAACCAGCCAATCAGAGCGCCGAACGCAGTTTCATTTCGATTATTTTCAATGTATCACAAACTCGTGCTAAGGCCTCAGAATTATCTATCTTATACCAGTATGAGCTGTATAGTTTGTTTATTTGAATGAGCTAATCTTTTGAACTACTGGTTTGATTTGAAAAAATCTTTAGGTGTTGGATAATCCATTTATGGAGGAAGGTTGAACGCTATAAAACATGACGCTTCGACCAATAGAAGCCGAGCAGAGCAAAGTGAAACTGCGTGAAAGTAGCTAGTAGGTATTATAATAAACAGAAATATTATAACAAAATGAAAGTATAAGGCAACATGTTATCTTCGTTAATTAAATGACGACAAAACGATAATAAGTTATTACCATCCAGTACAAAGTCAAAGTCAAAGTATTTATTTAAATTAATCTTTAATAAGGTACTTTTGAAAGGTAACAAATTGAATTGTCCGTCCGTCTGTCTATCGGTCAAGCTAGGCACAGAAGTATGAGTCCTATTAATATGATGCAGGTCACATGATGTAGTTCACAAACTTTTTAAAAAGAATAACCAATCTCAAAAGAGACCTTCTATAGTTCTACGAATGGTTCAAATTAGTATATCTCCACAAACTGATAACAGACTTCAAATCTATGGCATAGTGAAGATGTAATTCATCTTTTTTTAAAAAAGAATACGTTGCCCCATACTAGGATGGTCACCTGTGTCGTGGGTGCGTTTACAAACATACAAGTTCACATACACATGACACCCAGACCCGGAACAACAATCCGTGGATCACACAAAGAGTTGTTCCGTGCGGGAATCGAATACGCGGCACGTTGCGCGGCAGCCAGTTGCCCAACCACTGCGCCAACCGTGCAGTCAATACTCACATCATCAAGTTCCTTCAACTCCCTTCTATGTTGGTTCACGGCATCCAGTACGAGATTGTAGCAAGGAGGACAGTCCTCGCAACCTTGACCATCTGCGCGACGTTTCTTGTTTTCCATACATCTGGAATATTTTGAGCATCCATATTAAAATAATCATCCTGTGGTAGGTGACAGTCCATTACATCAGATACCTAGCGTACAGAGATAAAAACCAAAGGTTTAGGTTAATCAGAGAGTGTAGTTGTATCGTATTTATATCAATTAAAATGAAGAGTAATGGCATTGTATTATTTAGAACTTATTTAACTAGTAATGTCTGTTAACATTTTTTACGACAATATGGGAGCACTTTTAATTAATTAGCGAGTGAGGCGGACTTATTTTACTGTTCTCTGAGTGAATTGTGAGTGAATTCACAAGGAATGCTTTGTTTGTAATTAGTTATAAGTTATAAGTGAATTAAATAGTTCGCATTTATCGCATTGGGTCATCCTGTAATGGTAAATGTAAGTAAGTAAATAAATAAATATATGTATATATAAATTTTTTTTTATACGTTGCCCCTACTAGAATTTTCTCCTGTGTCTTGGGTGCGTTTACAAATCCAATTTCACATACACATGACACCCAGACCCGAAACAACAATTTGTGGATCATACTAAGTGTTGTTAGCCACCGCATTAACCGTGCAGTCAACTTTGTTCGAAGGGAGATATACATTCTAGGATAGACGCCTTGTTGTGTTGTGATTCTTGTTAACAGTGACTTGACATTCATAATCATTGCTTTGTACCCTCTTCTTACCTGTCACACCGACGTCCTTCAACATTCTCCTGGCAGGAGCACTGTCCGGACATGTCACACTGGTAGTTGGTGGAGCCCCATTCGTCACAGTCGCAGTCTCTGCAACCCTCGGCTGAGAAGCCGTAGTGGTACGCACGACAACGATCGCAGTGTTTACTGAAAAAAAACAGAAAAATTATGTGATCCCTAATATTTATTTTTCTCTTTAGTAGCTTTACTGTATTAATCACCACTGAGAGAAGATACTGACTGCTAAATCAGAAGACAAGGTTTTTACTAGTTGGCATAGCTAGTTAGTTATTATAGATTCCGTAACTTTTAGATTACTTATTAATTATTATACTAGATATTACCCGCTCTTTTGTCCGCGCAGAATAATGACTTCTATCAGAATTTAGGCGTTTGAATTAGTCTTTACTAAGGGATATTCTACGGTAACAAATTAATATAAGTTAAGCCTTTGATTATATTACCGACAGAAAACTGCTGAAAGCAAATCTTCACTGCTGAAGGTTAACGTATTAATACCATGTTTAACAGCTAATGTCTAACGTTTAAAACTGAACAAATAGCTTTTTAAAATTAACCCCCACTACTACGTGGGCATGAATTTAAACAAACTACGTTTAATGGGTTAGTAAAGGACGATTATTTAAACCTATTATCTTCTTACAAAACTGCGTATATTTGTCTTTTCAATTAATAAATGTGCCTTTCTCTGCACTTACCTATCAATACCCGGTTTGCAGTAACATTGTCCGTCGTAGGGGTCACAGGTGCTGTTGAATGAACCTTCAAGGTTACACTCGCAGGGCTCACAACCGGTGCCAGAGTTGATATTGTAGTAACCGTCCTGTTAAAAATACATTAGACATTTTTTGTTTTATTATCAGGCGCAAAAATAAACACCGCAGATGGTCTTCCGACCCGTGAACATGCCACGTAAAAGTAATTGACCATGGGAAAAACATGAATGTTCTAGATTTAAGCCACAAACTTTTAAGGATTGGCCTTGTGATGTGTTGATGGTCATGGCAAATGCAAGACGTATCGGAAATTAAAGTCTTTTGAATTCAAACGGCATATCGGTTGGGATCATCGGGATCCTCAAAATGAGAACTTCCTCACCTTTGAATTTTTCTATCATTATTGTAGCGTAAATTACATTGTTCATCAATTTTCTAACCAGCAAACGAAGAATAATTGAACCAATGAAGAAAATTATGTCCCTTAAACAGAGTTTCAGATAGATGACTTTAAGTGTGATTTAGAAGTATTTTGAACATGTGACTCATAATGACGATTTCTTCGAAGTTAAATGTGTTGTACTTAAAAATACATCTGTGTGTTTTACTTATCTAAGTTTACCAAAGCACATAATTGACTATAAGTTCTGTTTGAGTTTTTAACCAACATGTTACCTATCGGCAGATTTGATTATCGCTGGACCACTAGTACATCAACAGCCTATAAATGCCCACTGCTGAGCAAAGCCTCTTTTCACACGGAGAAGGTTTGAGCATTAATCACCACTCGCTCAATTGGTCAATGCGGGTTGGCGACTACAAACTTATAATTGGAAATTATAAGCCCAGGTTTCCTCACGATGTTTTCCTTCACCGTTTGTCAGTGGTGTCTAAATAATCTTAGAAAGAACATATAACTCGGAAAACGTCACATTGGTACTTTCCGTTGGTAGGTTTCGAACCCACATTCTCATGTATGAGAAGCCAGCGTCTTAAACCTCCGTGCCACCACGACATATACTACTATCACTGGTACATTTTGCGAAAATTTTATGACAACCCGATTAATCAGCCGACGTGTTCCCGGCAAGCAGAGCATGTGAAAAGGTACTATGTTTAGCTTATTAGATGCTACAATTCATTTGAACTCACCTCACACTTATCACAATTCCTTCCAATTACGTGTGGGTGACAAGTACACAATCCAGTGAGGCCGTCACATTGCGGAGGACCCTCAGCACTCTCCACTGTACCAGCTTCGTGGCACTGGCAGGGCTTACAGTCACCCTTCTTTTTAGGATCCAGAGCGTCTCCGAAGAAACCTTGAATGTTAAATGACTATTTAGTAAAGTGTTTTATTCGATAATACCTATGTTTTGCTTTTTCTTGAATGATCAAAATGATCAAAATTAAATGTGCATACATCCAGACATCCTCACAAACTTTCGCATTTATAATATTAGTAGAATTGGTAACAGATTATAAAATACTACGACGCTTACTTGAGACGTAGGTAAGTTAGATTTAAGTTAGAGTGTCTAACGCAAGGCATCGTTAGCGAAGGATTTGTCTTCAAAACTTATCTACCGACCACCAAAATCTTAAAAAATGGTGTTCTTTTGTTAGACATTGAGTATAGTTTTAGGCTCCTTAGCTTAAAAATAATCGTGAAAACCGGCTTAGGCAAGTATTACACGATTGTTTATAGAAAACTAGCAAACCCGGCGAACTCCGTTTCGCCACCAGATGGCTTCGTTTTATGTAACATTTCTTTTGGTGATTAAAAGTGAATTTTCTTTGCTATAAACCTCACGGAGCCCGAGACCTTTCCAACGAATGCAAAACCGTGGAAATCGGTTCTTGCGTTCTGGAGTTATAGCGTCAGGAATGAAAACTCGACTTATTTTTATATAGTAGACTAGCAAACCCGGCGAACTCCGTTTCGCCACCAGATGGCTTCGTTTTATGTAACATTTCGTTTGGTGATTAAAAGTGAATCTTCTTTGCTATAAACCTCACGGAGCCCGAGACCTTTCCAACGAATGCAAAACCGTAGAAATCGGTTCGTGCGATCTGAAGTTATAGCGTCAGGAATGAAAACCCGACTTATTTTTATATAGTAGATTATGTATAGAGGTTGGCTTACATCGTATTTATTGGTGTAATCTACGTCAAGGAATAAATGTATAACATAATATCACACCTTTTATCCCTGAAGGGGTAGGCAGAGGTGCACATTACGGCACTTAATTCCACTGTACAACGTAACACCCAGTTTTCCCTATTTATGTTATGAGTCCCATGATATAGGGGATGAGTCTATTCATATACCGGGCACAAAGACTTCCTGCTACTACTGAGATTTTTATTTAAAACCCATTAATACTTTGCCCGACCCGGGAATCGAACCCGAGACCCCTTGCTAGTCAGCCGCACTTGCGACCACTCGGCCAACGAGGTAGCCATTTTCTTTATGTGTGATAAAAATGGATGTAGTCAAAAATATTATCATGCCCGGCAGTTGCATTTGCGACCACTTGGCCAACGAGGCAAAAGATCTATAATACTAGTTCATTTCACTTACCACTCAAGCACTTGTCACAGTGGTCGCCATCAGTATTGTAGATACATTTAAGACAGGCTCCAGTTGTCCTATTACAGTTACCGACAGCGTTGGGGTCTACATTGCCATTGCACTGGCACAGCTCACACTGTTTCGGGGGTCCAAATTGCCCAGTGGGGTCTCCGAAGTAACCATCAGCACAGACTTCGCATTTTGGTCCTGAAATAAGGTTTTAGTATTGACGGCTTTTGAGTTCATGTCTTTAAGGGACTTCATAAAAAAACAGTTTGGACTAGGCCTTCATTGTTAACGAAGATAGTAATCATTACTTACGACTTACTATAAATATAAGAATATCACATTAATCTTTCATGATATCAATATATGTAGGTTCTATTGCAAAATCTTCTACCTTTAGTATACGTTTCCACAAAAAGTAACATCACGCCTGTTATCATCGAAGAGGTAGGCAGAGGTGGACATTACGGCACATAATGCCACTGTACAGTGTACACACATCACATCAACAGCCTGTAAATACCCACTGCTAAGCAAAGCCTCTTCTCACACGGAGAAGGTTTGAACATTAGTCACCACGCTTGCTCAATGCGGGTTGGCGATTACCACAACGATTACAAACTTATAATTAGAAATTATAAGCCCAGGTTTCCTCACGATGTTTTCCTTCACCGTATGTCAGTGGTGTCTAGATAATCTTAGAAAGTACATATAACTCGGAAAATGTCACATTGGTACTTGCCGTTGGTAGGTTTCGTACCCGCACCCTTATGTATGAGAAGCGAGCGTTTTTTTAAACCTCCGGGCCACCACGACATTGTACAATGCAACACCCACTTTGATATGGTACGGATGATAAGGACGGAAAATTATTTGACATGGTAGATGATTTTTGTCAAACGGCGAAATAAAAAAAAACTACCAAAGAATATTTTAGCTTACTTGAACTAAATACCTATGAACTATTAACTTAAGATTAATTTTCATTTAACACAAAAGTTTCAAGTGACTTTACACCTAGTAATAAATTGCAGGTTTAATTCTTACCAGCATATCCTTCAGGGCAATCAGTACACACAATGCTTCCATCCATCAGCTGGATACATCCACTGTCCTTAGGGCAAGGGCAGGGCTTGCAGTCGTCAGGAGTTCCAGCAATGGCATTACCATAGAAACCCTTAGCACAGAGCTCGCAGTTGCTGCCTGTCGTATTGTGTTTACAGATACAAAAACCTGAAAAAAAAGTAGAAAAATGAGATTTGAATAGCATTAATCACTCTGTAAAATTAAAATGAAATTAAAGGCTTATACTTATTGTTAAATTGGTCACCCCATTTGAATTATTTATTAAGTTTGCCAACAAAACATTGAGATTTCCTTACAAGTACCTACTTTGCCCCACACTATGAATTTCTCCTATGTCGTGGGTGTGTTTACAAACATACACGTTTACATACACATGACACCCAGACCCAGAAAAACAATTTGTGAATCACACAAAGAGTTGCTCTGTGCGGGAATCGAACCCGCGAAACTTTGCGCGGCAGCCGGTTGCCCAGCCACCGCACCAACCGTGCCGTCAGTCGTATGTCGTTGTATTGTTCATTTATTAGGCTTAGCATGTGGGTAAACTATTAATTCTTAGAAGTCTAAATTCCCTACATACGTGGAGCCAATGTAACAGATCATTACAAGCTCGCTTTTCTTTCATGTAAATTCTCACGTCGTCTCATCCTTTCTATCCATAGATTTTTGATATTATGCACTAGTTTTGTCACATCACCAAGAGTGCTTATCTATCAGCTTCTAATGGATAAGATTTGTTTCAATTCGTTCAAAGCAAATCATATACATACATATTATTTAACTATGGTGTGGTTGTCTTTCTTATTATTGTCAAATGTTACTACAAAACTTACCGGTAGCAGTGTCACAAATGTGAGCATGTCCATTGCAGTCACAAGGTATACAAGTCGAGTACGGTCCACCATTAGCAGGCTCATGTTTGAATCCAGGTGCGCACTCCTCACAATAGTCCCCAACATAAGCTTTAGGGCAAGAACACTTTTCTACCCAGTTGGCTGGAGCTGAGCCTTTCTCTCGGCCAATCTTAGCAGTTTCCAGTTTGAAGTTCATCAGGTAACCTTCTCCAGGCTTGTTATAGGTTCCTCTGATCTTGATGGCAGTCAGATTTTGGAGAAGAGACATGAACTCGAAGTTTGAGAGGGTTGGAGACCAGCCGTAGCGAGGGTCTTCGTGGAGCCTGAAGGTGTATTCTTGAGCCTGCAAGCATTGAGCCGTGAGAGAACTTGAGGGAAGGTAGGAAAATGAACTTCGCTTAGCTTTAGTAACCAAACAAGTGTTATCAATAAATGGTTCATTGACGGAAAAAATGAAATCTTAACTATTTTTACTGTGTTTTCTTAAAATGGATAATAATTTCTATTGATGCTACAACTTAGAACTCATATCTAAAATGGCAAACCAATTCACCAACAAGAAGATTGCTTAAAAACACAAAAATCCAATTGCAATAGAATTAAATTTTGATAAACACACATTCGCAGACGCTATAATCTCCATTCTTCTAACTACTATAGAACATTAAGAAGTACGAGTGCAATCGCAAACAAAAATGACAACTGCTCGGCAAAATAAAATATTCAACGTACCTGATTGGTAGGTTCCGGATTGTTCTGCGCATAAATATTGACAGACACGGACGATCGTGGACCTTCCAGGATAATGTCAGTAGCTGATGGATAGCCTCTCACTTCTCCAAGACGCAATGAGAACTTCAAGTCGTGATTGTATGAAGGTCTTTGATCACCCAGGAACTGACTTGAAGCGATGAAGTAAAGGGTTTCAGAAGATTGTGATGAAACGGCTGGAAAAAAATGTGTGGTTTAGCTAAAATAAGATCATGATTTTTGTCAAAATAAATGAAATGCAGAAAAATGCGATCTGGCTGTCAAATTTCTCATGCTTGGTCTGATCTGATGCTTGAATTAACATTTTTAAATATTGAACAGAAATTCTATACTGAAATTGAAATCTAATAAGAGATCTAATAAGGCTGTCAGATTAAACAGAATGGAGAAGAAACTGGTCCATTTAAAAGGACCACAAAATAAGGAAAACAAAACCCATTAACGATCAGTTACGATCTCCATGAAATAAATTTTTAATATTATCCAAGTATGCCTTTAAATACTTTCTCTCAAATAATGAACTCACCAATATTCTGTGTATTGGCATTAAACTGAAGCTTCGCAGATCTTTCTTGTTCATCTTCAGCCATCCATTTCTCCGCGTCTCTGATGAAATGTGCGCTAGTCTCGTGAGCTTGGTACTTCGGGGCCGAGCTGCACTGCGAAGAGTGTCCGAAACAGAAGCACGGAGTGCACCCGAAGTCGTTGCTGATGTCCAAGTTGAAGAAACCTGGTTTACACCTAAAAGATAAGGTTTTTAGTACAAATAGTATTATTTAACTATTCTAGGTAGGTTATAATACAATGCCTATATAGAATTAAATAATCTTTAATCGTTCTGACATAGGTGAAAAATATTGAACCTGGGATTATCTTGACAAGAAACATAATATATTATTGTTAAACTAATTCAAATATGTTAATTTAAACTTAAACTCAACAAAGAAGTAAAGTTAATAAAGTATGAGAATTATATATATATAGGTAACCACAACTACTGAAATCGGTGATACACTTGGTACCTGTTCCTTTTTCAATTGATTTAGATTTGCCCATGACTTTAACTTTGAAATGACTAAAATAGAAGCTATTGACCAGGGTCAATCGTTCTGGATAGAATCCTAACAACTTACTCTCTGCAACGCCTTCCTTCTACGTTCTGCTTGCACAGACACACGCCAGTTTGAGGATCACACTGTGGCGTGTTGGCGTAAGAACCAGACTCATTACATCCACAGGGTTTGCAGCCCTGGTTGGTGAACTCGTAGTGGTTGGGAGCGCAGACGTCACATTTGTCTCCTGTCACTCCAGGCTTACATTGGCACTTGCCTTCCGCGTTACATTGGAGGCTGCGAGATCCTAAAGAGAAGATGAGGATAGATTTGTAGTTCATTACATTATGGAATGTTCAATTAGAAGAGGAAAAAGTTCGTTTATAATCTTTCTCCGCTTATTAAGTATGCTAAATATGAAAGTTTTTTTAGACCGAAATGTTTTTGATTGACTTTCACTCTCGGTTCTTCATCGGTAAGTTTTGAAGACATTTGAAAGACCTTTAGAAATAAGGCGATCCAGTCTTATTACACTCGGCAGTAGTAGCCATGAGAAATTACAATTACAATCTGTGTAATAAGCAATATTATTTACTTTATCTCTTTTTGCATAGTACTTACCAGTAGGATTACAGTTGCAGGGTAAGCAAATGTCTCCAGATCCTTGGAAGAAATTCTCCTTGCACCTCTCGCAGTTAGCTCCATCCCTGTTCTCCGCGCAGTCGATACACCGACCACCGTGTCCTGTGCGCTCATATAAGTCCTTGTCGAACTCACATTTGTTGGAGAACCCATTGCAGTTACAAGCTGTAATGAAACACCAATCACTATCGGCTATCCTTTACATTTAAAGTCACCGAAGATTTTCAGAAAAAACTGACAGAATCAAGCTTTGGACGGACATAAATTCTCCGTGTGAGCAGTAAATGTATCCCAAAAATCGCTTAAGATTAATGTACTGTGAAACAAGTGAAACAAGTGAAACAAGTGAACTACTATTTGACCATTAAATAAACAGACGACTTGGAAGGATGAAAAATGGTTATAACTAATGCCAAATTCAAAGCGGTTTTATTTGCAATAGTGATCGCAAGCGCTAGCTTTCGTGGGTTTTACAACATAACATCACGTCTGTTATCCCCAAAAGGATAGACAGAGGTGCACATTATGGCACTTAATGCCACTGTACAATGTAACACCTACTTTCCACAATTTATTTTATGAGTCCCATGTAATAGGGGGTGAGCCTATTGCCATATACTGGGCACAATTCCAGACTCCGTGCTACTACTGAGATTTTTTTTAAATCCAGTAATACTTTGTCCGACCCGGGAATCGAACCCAAGACCCCACGCCCGGAAATCGGAATTGCACCCACGAGGCAGTTGTAGGTTTTATACTTAATTATAAAATTTTCGATTTAGAAACTCTTTGTATTTTACAATGTCCGATTACAAAAGTTATATTCTTGTTCAAGTTTTCGTTCACCATTGTGACACATGATACTAAATTATTGTGTCACTAGTACAATATAATGGATCCATCATCAGCCAACGTAATATCTTCTAAAATAAGCAAAAATAATTCATATTTATATACATTCGCTGGTGGTTACTTTTACAGCAAAAGGAGACTTCAATGAACACAATGTTGCTTTATTAAGTTTTGTTTTTTTTTTTAATGTGGCTTTCCTTTATTGGCTATTATACGTAGGGTCGCTGAAACTGAAGAGCATCAACAGTGACAAAACAAAATCGAATTAGTGTGCTATTTAAGGAAACGAAATTGCATTTTTAAAAAGCCATTGGATGTTGGTATTTTTTAGAATTGGATTACTATAAATGGGAAGAATAGACGAAGATAACATAAAATAAGACAAGGAATCATAAAACCTCAATGACAACATTAGCTATTAGGAAACAAACCACCTATCCACACCCTGCTTTACAAGAACATTCGCATAGAAAAAACAATTCGCCGTAAACTAAGCAAGCAATGTATTTTGAACTAACCCTTGCACTCGTGCACGTTGGTCGGTGAAGCTCTGCCCCAAGGAGCATCGTTGTAGAAGTCCAAGCATCTTTCACATTCACGACCAGCTGTGTTGTGCTCACATCTGAAATATTAAAGAAATTTGGTCACAGTTTTTGCGTAATGGGTCAACTATCTCGCCTATTGGTAAACGATGATGCGGTCTACGATGGAGCACGCCTGCCTAAAAGTAGAAGAATTCAACTCTTCAGTGCTTCGCACAGGGAAACTCGAAGCGAAACGCTTCGTCGGTTAGGATATCCACTATGAAGCGGTGGTGTTTTGCCGAGTGTCTTGTGGTACGATAATGGAAAGGATTAGGGGAAATCAAGTCGTACAATTTCTCCACGCCGTGACGAAAATATAGGTACAGTTATACAAAATATGAATATTTCTAAGTACGCCGTGGTAATTGGGGCTTAAGTGTAATATGAGCAACACCTACTTGTAACACCTACTTTTCACTGGCTATGTTATGATCCCCGTGTAATAGGGGGTAAGCCTATTGTTCTTAACACTGAAACTTTATCCTAATCTTTTTTTATATTTGCTGGGCAGACGTTTGACGACTATCTCGCCTGGTGGTAAGCGATGATGCGGTCTACGGTGGAGCACGTCGTTCCATAAGCAAATCCTAATAATATTTAAAACTAGAAGTTTGTTTTATATGTGTGTGTTATTTTTCCTACAGAAACTCCAATACAGATCAGAACAAAATTGGCACACATTGGTCTAGAATAACATGCGGGCTTCTTCCTATCCGGTCGAGCTAGTTTTATACAATTCATTTTTGAAACATTGTAATGCAGAAACCTCTTGGGTTCATTGTATCTAATACAGAAAGCGCTTTGGTTTATAATAAAATGCTTTGATTTTTACCTGCAGGCTCTAGTTCTGGTACCATCAGGCAGTTCTTGGGTTTCGCAGACGGAAGCGTGACCATTGCACTTGCACCTTGCACCCACAGCCACGTCAGCGATGGCGTACCAATACGACTGCAACACTTGGACGTCTCCAAAGATCTCGTCTCCGAAGGTGTTCAGACGGTCCAGGGAAATTCGAAGATCGGTGGCAGTTACCCATTCCTGGATAAATTATTATAATAATGTTAATGACAATGGAGTCTTTCTTAACATCAGTCAAGTTAAGTCACAAATCGGGAAGAAAGGATGCGCCAACCTGCAATTTCATCATAGAAGTTCCAGGCAAGATACGTAAAGCCCTTATATCTCAAGAGAGAATTTATATCAATTGGACTTCTTGCCCCGTCAGAGACTTTACGCTTGTAACGCGATGCTACAATTGCCAACTATATGGACACGCAGCAAAATCATGCAGAGAGATCAACTCATCATGTGGCCACTGCGGAGAAGCAGGACATGTACAATCCTCGTGCACTAAAAAGTCGGAATCCTCTAAATGTGCTACATGCTCTCGTTACAATAAGCCCAATAAACATAAAACCGGAGACACTGACTGTCCGGCTAGGAAAATAGCTGAATATAGGTATATCAACTCTATCGATTATGAGGACGCGTGATTGTCATATTCTCAGATTACAGAGTTGATTAACCTTTCCTTGCACATTAATTAACATCGCAACAAGTTGGCGTACTCAACAATTTGTTGCTGTTCAAGCATATTTTATTGTAACACCGAGTGAATTACCGTTTGGACTGTAAACTAGATTATGTTTCTGTTGATGTATCAAATTCTTCAGTACTATAGTTCCTACAATGTTTTATATATATATATATATATAATAATATGTATATCTATCTATTATTTTGTATCTAAGCTAATATATTTACTTGTTTAATAAATGTACTTATACTATAATATTAATATTTAGTTATATATAATATAATATTATGTAGTCATGTGCTTGTGTATGTATGTATATTAAATAATCAACTTTACCTTTGATCGATTACTTATGTTAAGGAATTTGTTTATATATATAACTTGACCTAGAATTAGTATTGTGAGTGCTCCTCTCGCCTGTGATACAGGATATTCTTCCTAGTACAGGCATTAAACCTAGTGTGATCTCTGATTTTAAATTAAGATGTTTATCTGTAATATGACCAATTCTTATAATGAATAAAGATTTTAAGATTTTTTAAGATTTAAGATTTAGCTATTACCTCAGTGAACAACTAAAAGAGTCTATACTAAAGATGTTTTTAAAAAGGTATTTCTTAGGTAGTAGTTGAACAGGTTATCCTTTGTACCTCTATGTTTGTTAGAGGGTATAAGTTAACTAAAAATAGCAAATAATTTAATTTTGTTCTTCTGTGAATCGAAAGATTCGGATATGAACTCATTTGTTAATTGACTATCAAATACCTTTCAAGGCCTATACGATGTAAGTTCCTATGACTATAATCTTACCTGCAACTCAGGACTGTTGTCAAAAGTGAACGCTGAGGGTCGACCTTCAAGAGTGGAGAAGAGGACGTTTCCACCAGAAAGTGGTGAGATGTCGGAGTACTCGCTGGTGCAGAGGGCACGGGTTTCTGCTCCTAACTCTGCAGCCCTCTGTTCTTGAACTCCGTAAGTCTCGCGGCAGGAGGCACTGAAGGGAGATACGTTGAATAAATATTAACCTTCAGAGCATGCATGGGATCATTCTTCATTACTCAATGCAATTACCTGAAGTACTGGAAGGGCTCCCAAACCCTTTCTTCAGAGGTCTTCTTATAGATAGCGAAACTCTGAGGTCTGGGCGAGTAGAACACAATCCTCACGTAGGTGATGTCGTAGGCCTTGCCTGGAATGTAGGGCATCTTTATTATTTCATCAGTCTTGCGACTTCTAACCCTATCATATAGCACAAAGAGTTACAATGTCTACAAATAACCGTAGATGTTTATAAGATTCATGCTTGTAATCGCATCTACGACAAAAGAGAATGCCTCAGTGTGGGATAAAGTTTTAATCTGTGTCATCCATAGGTCCATAGGTCCAGTGTAATCCCCACGCTACGGAGATAAATTTTGGAACTGTTAACTAAGGAAGATAACCAAGAATTAGACTGAACTAGTTAAAAAAATGATGAAATGTAGGCTTAAAACTGAATAACGTACCCAAATGCAGTGTCAAGTTGACCTGGTTAGGATACTGGATCCCTTCCTTCATGGTTTCCGACTGCCACCACGTCTGGTTGTCCTGCTCATAATGAAGATCTGTCAGGTAGTAGCTGGAGAACTGTCCTGGTTGGCAGCTGTCACACGACCTGAAGGAAGAAGAGAATTTAATTTAAACTTATGATGTTTACCAAGTCTTGGTTTGGCATTATTTTTGTTATTAGTAATTTCACTTCACTATTTTCAAACTTTACCTAACTTCTACGGATTTTTAAAACCTACATAAATCATCCACTCAACCAACAGTACATTTATTACACACATATCTTATACATATAATATGCTCTATGCAAAGTTGGTGTTCACATACTGGGCGTTTCGATGTATGTACCTCTATTGTAATAAACATAATATACTAATATTACGGGAATCGGTATATTCATAACTAGCTGTCTGTTATAGTTTTGCACCGAGTAGGTACAATTTCTTGGGGAATTACCGATATTTCCGTCGTTCTGTTTTAACAATCCCCACAATACGTTAATACTGAAATTTGATGTAATGATTAATACCTAAATTATGGATTGTGCTTTCCTACATCATATTGTGCATCATATTATTTACGCAGATCTAGATTTCTGCAAGTCCATACCTGGTAGATGTGCCGTAGGAAGTCTGTATACAATAGACTTTCATGCCATTGTCACCACAGGTGTTCGTCGCTTCCATTTGGACCATGAAGGCCGCATTCTCGAACTCCGGTATGCATCTCTGTTGGTAAGAAAGAAAGGGAATTAATAGGTAAACATCCTATCAACAGCCTGTGATAACTCATTTCTGAACTACGGCACTTCTTGGCATAATAGGGTTTGCTTGACAGACAAGTTGGAAAGATTAAGATTCAAGTTTATCTCAAAGTTTAAAGTCCACCAAATATATCGCCCCTTAGTCAGCTATCACGACACCTGGTTGTGGCCACCAGTATAATTTATGACGTTGCTTAGGAGCCCGCGTACTAGACAACCACGAATTCTCGGTTGCAGCGGCCAATATAACGCGCCTGTTTGCGCGGCTGCTCCGGGCTGGCCGGGATGACAGAATTTTGCGCTCAGAACTTTGACGGGGTGACTTTCGACACAGAGGAGTAGTAATTTGGACAAGTTACTGTGATACATGTTCCAAAATTAGAAAACATAGGTTTACTAAACAGTAAACCGAACAGAGCATAATTTAATCGATGTCTATCGATGTGTATCGAATTGTGCTCTAAGAATATGAAATTGACTCATTGAGCATCCATTCTTGTACTAAAAATTTCAAAAATAGATGCTTAAACTGTCAAACACCGCGAGGACACCGGTGATCGCAACCTATTGTTCTTTAGTTGTGTCTATAATGACGGTACTCAAAGGGTTAAGAACCATTTTGCGTTACATTTTGCCCTATAGAAATAAAAACATCGCGTCGGCAGGATGCGAATGGAAAACAAACAAATACAACCATATCTAAACAGAAGACTCGTTAAAGATATTTGACAATCTGAAGGAGCTCACTCTTCTGCGCCTCGCCTTTCGGGGAATAAAAGTCAGGACGCATTCCAAGAACCTCTTAATCATGTTACAATAACAGTAGTGTTTAGTGATATGTAACTGGAGTCGATATTATCTGCTACTGTTGTTTAAATAAATACATACGCTTATACTTCGGAATGTTATGCAATAGACAGATACCTATGAACTGCATTCGTTATCTAAATAATATAACAAACTGTTATACGATATATTCATTACGCTCTACGATTATTGTTGTGGATCAGGCAAGATCTCCAAACAATCTGTTATTGATTCCACGAATGTAGATTACCTTCTAGCAATCTATTTGACTGAAAATAATTGCTAATTGATATTGTACGGAGGATGGTTGACACTTCAGGTGATCGAAGGGCTGGCTACTACCTTGGGCAAAGGTTAAGCATTGCCATTCAACGTGGCAATGCTTCCAGGCTTTTGGGCACCCTACCTCACGGTAGCGATGAGGTAAATGTTTTCTTTGATGCCTTATGATATATTTTTATTATTTTTTTTAAAGTGTGAATATTTAAGTTTTACATTATTTATATTTTAAGTTGTATATATTAATAATCTCATAACTTCTATAAATGTAATGGCGTGCAAATATGAAAGTATTGCTAATTGTATTGGTATAATGCTAATTTTCGATCTGTTAAAGACAATACGGGCCCTAACCAAGTATCATTTAAAATTGTACGTCTTCTACAGAAGCGAAATAGGTCATAATGACGTCATAATGGGTAAGTATTACTTATGTCTGTTAGACCAAGGAAGCAGTGACTTCTGGGTGAGTGAAGATACATCAAGAACTGAAACAGAACTCCTGAATTCACGCTTAACGCCCTAAATGGACGACCGGCTGATGTCATGCACAATATGTCTCAGAACGGCTATTTGTGAGATCTGCTAATTATTGACCGTAAATGTGTAAATGCAACGTGTTGTTTGTAAATGAGCCTACAGACCGAGAATAATCTCTATGAGGGACGTTAGAAACGTCTAAAATACAAGTCTTATTTAAAAGACGAATCTATAGTTCGAACCTTATTAAAAAAAACATGTATAAATTGTGTAATTCTGATAAATGTGGTTATAATTTCACGAACTACACAAAAACAATTGCGTTGATGTAATGGTAAGCGCAAATCTATTACATATTGCAAGAAAGGTGGTTGGGTGAATGTCCTATGCGTCGTTCCTATATATAGACGCACTATTTCGGCTGCCACCATGTGTCGTGGTACACTCACTATTCACTATACAACTGTCTCTCTTCATTTGTCTATTAGCTTACAAATGCATGATAACGAATTACATTGAAATTCTGCGATTGAAACATAATATCTAATGGTTTTGAGGATGTTTGACCATTTTTGAGATCGTTGTGTTTGAGGATTGTAACAAAATGTTTAAGTTTTTGTCTGTACTGTAACTCAGTTAATTATTTATTGGAAATAAATGCTTTAACGTTGATAAACACAGTAAACTGATATAAAATATGGTGTTGTTTAGCACGTGGTATTTTCAAGGAGCCATTACAAGTCAGTCGGCAAATCGATGTGTTGTCGATAATGTTCTGTTATAAAAGAACTAATTTCAATTATTACACGACATTGTAACATTTTCATTTTATTTATGAAATTGTAACATTTTCATATTACTTGTGAAATTGTAACATTTTCATATTACTTGTGAAATTGTAACATTTTCATTTTATTTATGAAATTGTAACATCTTCATTTTATTTATGAAATTACAGAAATCGGTCACCTAACCTTGCATGTCATAAATCGGGTATAACTTCTGACTTTTCAGCTTTGTGTAGTATATTTTGATTTGTATAAATATTTTAGCTGATTTAAATACAAGCCATATTATTATTTCCCTATTCCGGTTTAAATAGCATAGTCAAAGGCAACAACCAATACCCATGTTGTTTCGATAACTTTCTATTATTGTCAATTCAATATAGTGACTTAACGAGCCGTGCAATCGTTGCATTTGTTTCCATTTAAAATTTGTTCGTGAAGGGCTTTTGTCTATAGTTCAGCTCATGTTTATACTGATTCTAGTTATTTCAATTCAAAATAGTTTCTACTCGTTCATTTATTGTCATTTTTGGCCCAGTCTTTGTGTTTGGTATGTATCTCATCTTCATGGTAGAAGAAGCCTTTGTTTAACTGACTTGTTTTGACAAAACAATTAGCCCTTGTTACTTCAGATTTACTTTTAGCGAAAAAGTAGCTTACGAACTGAAGTCCTCATAAAGACTGATAAGAAGACTATGATCTTGTTTTAATAGAAAATATTTAACCACATAGGTAATTGTAGTCGTGTACAATCGTCAAATTTTTATATCGTTCTACCATAAGCTTAATGTTAAAATGCTAATAGGTTTGTCGTTTGCATGAGTCAACCCTTATGGAAAGGTTCACCTAATTATTCAAAGTAAAAAAAGTATTTTTATTTGTCATAATTATATGCTCATGATGAAAACCATCCGTCACAATTCATCATAGCATAGTATAAAACAAAGTCGCTATCCGCCGTCTGTCTGTCCCTATGTATGCTTAGATCTACAAAACTACGCAACGGATTTTGATGCGCTTTTTTTAACAGATAGATTGATTCTTAAGGAAGGTTATATGTATATATATGTTACGTTGTTATGTTATATGCATATAGCAACAGAGCGAGACTGGGGCGGGTCGCTAGTTACTTCATAATCAGAATGAGTTCGTTATTGCTGCTTTGCATACAGTAAAAATGTATTGTAATGTCAACTATTGCAGTAATGAGAAATAATCAAAATTACTTAGACTTCTATTGACTTGACGTTGAATTATATTAAAATGTCCTAAGTGCTAGTGATAGTGTCAAGCGATTGACATCAAACTGAGTCATGATATCAATGTGTCGATTGTATAGGTATATTGACGCGAGTGTAAGCATTTATCGCAAACTTCAAAGCTTTAGGATGGTCTATAAATAATAGTCGTTTTCGAACAAACAACTCCAGCTTTCTATGGTCGTATTGTTTGCGGACAAAAACAAAGGACATCTGCATTCTATAGTTGGTTCCATGGTGCAGAATATGTTAGGCGCAGTTATTGTTCTTCTAGCTTGCTCAAATAACTACAACTATTATAAGAAATGGATATTAGTTCGTGTGTGGCTATAGAGTTACCTGCTGCTCTATCAACTGATTCTTATAAACAAAAAAATATTGCTATCTGACTTATGGACTCAACAATGACATTCCGTTGTCCAGTGCAACGAGTACAATCTGGTACCTTGTTGCATAAGTCTCAAATCTGATTCAACTTTGTCTACACTTTGAAATAACATGAGGTGTATGTTATTTGATACTAAATATAATGTCTCAAGACGTTCCCAAAGGATTATTTTGCAAGATAAACAAATAATTTAGCTTGCGTTGATGTAGGTTGTCTTCTATTATGCAAGACTGTAATGATCATCATTTATTTATGAACTACACGGTTGCTTTTGCTGTTTCAGTGGGAATTTCAGGAGTACCAGAGTATCTCTACCTCTCTCATACAAATCATTTGCACTGCAGTTTCGGCTGGATTCTCTCAGTCACCAGCATCGGAAGTGAATTGTTGTAAGTAAGTACCCCGTTTCGATACGTTTCATAAATTAGGTTTGTCCATAAAAATTAGGCGTTTTGTGATTGGCCTGTTTTCTGGTATTTAGTTCTCTAAGGCCCGCTACCAGCATCAGCACGTCTGAGGTTTCAGGTGGCAAATAGTAATATGCATTAATATAATTAAAATAAAGTAGAAATTGCCATGCAAATGGTCGTAATAACAAAAATACCGCTTCGGTATGCTTGAGGCTGCTGTATCGGCAGTCTTGAGAATCCTTCGGAATTCTTCGGGATGCCTCAGCATCCTCTGGCTGCCGGCCGCCTGCTTGATTGATTAGTTTTCTCGTTTTCTTCAGCAAGAGCTGTTATGAGCACTAGATCCCAGTCCGTCATATTAAATTCAACTCGGACAACTAGCTTATAACAACTCTAAGACTGTTATGACGAGAAATACGATATTGAGACGTTTCGAAATGCTTCAGGACAGTACAGCATGCTTCAGGACGGCTTGTTATCCCTAAGAACGTTCCAGCATGCTAAAGCATAATTTCCGGCAGAGTGCGCTTGCAAGTAAGATGCCGAAGGATCCT